ATTGATGAGAAAATCCATCGCAAAATTAGAGCATCCAATTCTATCCTCTTTCGCTTGAGCCTCTCTCTCTCATCACTCAAGCGACCTCCCCTCTCTCCCACTTGTTTGATATTCTTTTTTGGGAATGTCTATAAAGAGACTTATTTATCTTTTGTACGTAGATGTCACAATCATTTTCACTCATTAGATGTCAAATTGGATGGCTTGGGGTGAGCCACGAAGTCCGATAATTTTTTTTTGGAACCTTAATTGTCTATTCAATGACACTCTTAATACCACCCATTTTGAAATTTAAGGGACAAGAATGATTGTGACTTCTATATACAAAAGATATATGGCCTCTTTGTGGATAATCCCTTCTTTTTCTATAGAAAAAAAATCCTAGACAAAAAGATCTAAAATCTCTTCCACCCTAATTTGCTTCCAACCTAAATAAATCCCTAAATAATATAGAAGAACGGTTGTTCGCTAGACTTTATAAGGTATAACCTAAGTTTGCTCCTCGAGGCTTAATGAAGTAGCATAATGCTTTGAACTTTGTGTTACAACTTAGCTTCTATTTCGATTAGCATGATAGCTGGAGATTCACTAAAACTAGAATTTAAGGCCAAAAATGCTTAAAACTAAATAATAATTAAAAGTAAATTTGCAATATTAAGAGGGATTGTATACAATGAGACCATTTACTATTGGTATAAGGAGGTCACAATTACTTACAACCATCCCATGTGAGCTGATAGGTTGAGTGAGTCATAAAGTACGAGAAAATTTATTTTAAAGTTTGATAAAAGAAATAAAACAAAAGGAAGAATGAATAAAGTGGTCAGGCCCTGAGGCCCGGCACCTAGAATTGGGCTCAAATGGCGAAGATGAAATCCTTATTCCTTGATATTCGAGATTGACCATCCTGAATGATTAATTGCAGTCCAGGAAAGAGACAGTGATACCTAGCAATTCACATCCAAAGTTTTTGAATGGATAAAAAGAGGTTCTTTTAATCATTGAATAACGGTTGCATAGTATCATATTTCTCGAGTTTGAATAGCTTAAGTTAGAGTTTTGGAGGTTGTAGGTTCCCATGAATGGGAATTAGGGTTAGGGTTTTTGTTCTTATTAAGGTCCATTGAAGTGGTTGGAAAATGGCCCTTTTATAGGCAAAATATACCCCAAAACAGAAAAAGAAAGGCGGCGATTTGGATCAAATCAGAGGGTGACACGTGCACTGCATAGTATGTGGTGCATAATTTCTCTCCTGCGCTGTATAATGCGGCACTAAAATATTTCCCTTATGTATTTTAGTGGTTTGTTCAGGCGATCACACTGAGTTCAGTGGTGGTGGTGGTTTGATCAAAAAATTAGACACTTTTTAAGGTCACAATCCACCATTTACTTCTTTCATGGTATATAAATTGTCTATTTTGGGATACTGATTTTTTAATTGGTAGATTTGAGAATATTGGCGTACCTATCTTGAGATTTGGGAATATTTGGCTTCCTAAAATGAAGCATTCAAAATATTTGAAGTATCTTGGGATTTTTAGGAAATATTTAGTATCCCATTTAGGGTATTGGGAATATCTAAAGAATATTTGGTTTCCCATGGAATATTTTGGGCTAAATTTTGTTTTGTTTTGTTTTGTTTTTTGGGTGAGTTTGTGAGGACAAGACCCCTACCCTTGATAGGAATTGAGCCTAAGACATAGCATTGCAAATCGTCAAGTGTTAACCAATTAAGCTGGGCTCTTCTACTAATGTCTATAAAATTAGATATCGAAGGGGTTCCTTCCATGGATCACAATTATATTGAGTCAAAAAATGTAGGATCAAAGCATATTCATGTGTAGTGGTCTCTATAACCTTGATCTGCCTTTTGATCAATATCTCACCATCCATGAAGCATTTTGAGCTAAAATTT